ATGTCTCATGTATCTCGCCAGTGTACCTAGGTAAGATCTCCCACGTCTCATGTATCTCACCAGTGTACCTAGTTAAGATCTCCCATGTCTCATGTAACTCGCCAGTGTACCTAGGTAAGATCTCCCATGTCTCATGTATCTCGCCAGTGTACCTAGGTAAGATCTCCCACGTCTCATGTATCTCGCCAGTGTACCTAGGTAAGATCTCCCACGTCTCATGTATCTCGTCAGTGTACCTAGGTAAGATCTCCCATGTCTCATGTATCTCGCCAGTGTACCTAGGTAAGATCTCCCATGTCTCATAAAAATACCAAGATTTGACAGAAGTTTACAGGATGCAAGTTGTAGTTCAGCCCTGCATCTTGACCATAGAATATATTTTTCAAAAATAATTTTAAAAAAAGGCAAGGTTAAGTCTAGATCAAACTAAGCCAAATCTAGTTTCCTTTATTTATAGCAGAGGAGGAAAGATTCTTTTGTCAAAAAAGATTACAATCATTTTTAAGAAACATTTTCCTGGACTAAGTGTTTTCATGGTTATACTAACAGGAGTTATCTCCCCCTTGCAAGCCCCTCCCAGCACGTACCAGCATTGGGGAGGAGGTGACGCTGTGGGGAGTGGCATGCCTGATGACACTAAATGTACCTGATCATTGTTGGAAATGTATGAGTTAAGTTTCAGGGATGATATTGTCAAGCTAACTGGTGAATTGTTTCTTCTCTACTTGCTCTGCTTAAGGCAGGCACATCAAAACTAAAACACATTAATCAGGGGATGATTTGCCTATTTATTTAATGACAAATGTGTTTCCATGGCCAAGCCATGCAGACAGTCTTGCTTCTCATATTCGTTGTTTACAACATTAGCACATGGTTTCTATATTTAGCAAACTGACAATGAGGCTTGTCCTCCCGATTTACCAGAGAACCATGTTGCCACAACATCCTATGTGAATGTATAATAAGTTGCACACTGTTCACCTATCACCAGTGAGGTTACAGTGTGTCAGTTTTCATGTTTGTCCTCCCATACTAGTTTTTGTGTTACCCATGAGCAGACAAGTATTTCCGGCTGTCAAAGTGAGTTTGTTTAGTTTTTGTGTTACCCATGAGCAGACAAGTATTTCCGGCTGTCAAAGTGAGTTTGTTTAGTTTTTGTATTACCCATGAGCAGACAAGTATTTCCGGCTGTCAAAGTGAGTTTGTTTAGTTTTTGTGTTACCCATGAGCAGACAAGTATTTCCGGCTGTCAAAGTGAGTTTGTTTAGTTTTTGTATTACCCATGAGCAGACAAGTATTTCCGGCTGTCAAAGTGAGTTTGTTTAGTTTTTGTGTTACCCATGAGCAGACAAGTATTTCCGGCTGTCAAAGTGAGTTTGTTTAGTTTTTGTATTACCCATGAGCAGACAAGTATTTCCGGCTGTCAAAGTGAGTTTGTTTAGTTTTTGTATTACCCATGAGCAGACAAGTATTTCCGGCTGTCAAAGTGAGTTTGTTTAGTTTTTGTGTTACCCATGAGCAGACAAGTATTTCCGGCTGTCAAAGTGAGTTTGTTTAGTTTTTGTATTACCCATGAGCAGACAAGTATTTCCGGCTGTCAAAGTGAGTTTGTTTAGTTTTTGTGTTACCCATGAGCAGACAAGTATTTCCGGCTGTCAAAGTGAGTTTGTTTAGTTTTTGTATTACCCATGAGCAGACAAGTATTTCCGGCTGTCAAAGTGAGTTTGTTTAGTTTTTGTATTACCCATGAGCAGACAAGTATTTCCGGCTGTCAAAGTGAGTTTGTTTAGTTTTTGTATTACCCATGAGCAGACAAGTATTTCCGGCTGTCAAAGTGAGTTTGTTTAGTTTTTGTGTTACCCATGAGCAGACAAGTATTTCCGGCTGTCAAAGTGAGTTTGTTTAGTTTTTGTATTACCCATGAGCAGACAAGTATTTCCGGCTGTCAAAGTGAGTTTGTTTAGTTTTTGTGTTACCCATGAGCAGACAAGTATTTCCGGCTGTCAAAGTGAGTTTGTTTAGTTTTTGTATTACCCATGAGCAGACAAGTATTTCCGGCTGTCAAAGTGAGTTTGTTTAGTTTTTGTATTACCCATGAGCAGACAAGTATTTCCGGCTGTCAAAGTGAGTTTGTTTAGTTTTTGTGTTACCCATGAGCAGACAAGTATTTCCGGCTGTCAAAGTGAGTTTGTTTAGTTTTTGTATTACCCATGAGCAGACAAGTATTTCCGGCTGTCAAAGTGAGTTTGTTTAGTTTTTGTGTTACCCATGAGCAGACAAGTATTTCCGGCTGTCAAAGTGAGTTTGTTTAGTTTTTGTATTACCCATGAGCAGACAAGTATTTCCGGCTGTCAAAGTGAGTTTGTTTAGTTTTTGTATTACCCATGAGCAGACAAGTATTTCCGGCTGTCAAAGTGAGTTTGTTTAGTTTTTGTGTTACCCATGAGCAGACAAGTATTTCCGGCTGTCAAAGTGAGTTTGTTTAGTTTTTGTATTACCCATGAGCAGACAAGTATTTCCGGCTGTCAAAGTGAGTTTGTTTAGTTTTTGTATTACCCATGAGCAGACAAGTATTTCCGGCTGTCAAAGTGAGTTTGTTTAGTTTTTGTATTACCCATGAGCAGACAAGTATTTCCGGCTGTCAAAGTGAGTTTGTTTAGTTTTTGTATTACCCATGAGCAGACAAGTATTTCCGGCTGTCAAAGTGAGTTTGTTTAGTTTTTGTATTACCCATGAGCAGACAAGTATTTCCGGCTGTCAAAGTGAGTTTGTTTAGTTTTTGTGTTACCCATGAGCAGACAAGTATTTCCGGCTGTCAAAGTGAGTTTGTTTAGTTTTTGTATTACCCATGAGCAGACAAGTATTTCCGGCTGTCAAAGTGAGTTTGTTTAGTTTTTGTATTACCCATGAGCAGACAAGTATTTCCGGCTGTCAAAGTGAGTTTGTTTAGTTTTTGTATTACCCATGAGCAGACAAGTATTTCCGGCTGTCAAAGTGAGTTTGTTTAGTTTTGGTATTATCAGTGATTTGATTCTTGTGTTGAAATTTTGTTTTAGACTTGTCATCTAGACTTGCTTCAAATCAGTTTTGACTGATGTAAAAAATGGTAATAATTCCTGTCTCACTTGGGACTGAACTTTTTTATAACCCTGTTAATGTAGCCTCCTCATAGGTCTCACATCAACATGGCCTTCAGTGTCCTCCAACTACCTGGAGACGTGCACCTAGTAGCTGGACACATTCTCACACCTGCCTGAGCCTGTAGTGTAGATGGTGTTATTACATTGCCATTCTGTCTTGTTTCAGTGATGAGGTACGAGAGCGAGGGTTTACTGTGATATTGGACATGCGAGGCTCCACCTGGCAGACCGTGAAGCCCATCCTTAAGGCACTGCAGGTAACCATGGTAACACTTGTTGTATATCCCCATCCTTAAGGCACTGCAGGTAACCATGGTAACACTTGTTGTATATCCCCATCCTTAAGGCACTGCAGGTAACCATGGTAACACTTGTTGTATATCCCCATCCTTAAGGCACTGCAGGTAACCATGGTAACACTTGTTGTATATCCCCATCCTTAAGGCACTGCAGGTAACCATGGTAACACTTGTTGTATATCCCCATCCTTAAGGCACTGCAGGTAACCATGGTAACACTTGTTGTATATCCCCATCCTCAAGGCAGGTAACACTTGTTGTATATCCCCATCCTTAAGGCACTGCAGGTAACCATGGTAACACTTGTTGCATATCCCCATCCTTAAGGCACTGCAGGTAACCATGGTAACACTTGTTGTATATCCCCATCCTCAAGGCAGGTAACACTTGTTGTATATCCCCATCCTTAAGGCACTGCAGGTAACACTTGTTGTATATCCCCATCCTCAAGGCACTGCAGGTAACACTTGTTGTATATCCCCATCCTTAAGGCACTGCAGGTAACACTTGTTGCATATCCCCATCCTTAAGGCACTGCAGGTAACACTTGTTGTATATCCCCATCCTCAAGGCACTGCAGGTAACCATGGTAACACTTGTTGTATATCCCCATCCTCAAGGCACTGCAGGTAACACTTGTTGTATATCCCCATCCTCAAGGCACTGCAGGTAACACTTGTTGTATATCCCCATCCTTAAGGCACTGCAGGTAACACTTGTTGTATATCCCCATCCTTAAGGCACTGCAGGTAACACTTGTTGTATATCCCCATCCTTAAGGCACTGCAGATAACACTTGTTGTATATCCCCATCCTTAAGGCACTGCAGGTAACACTTGTTGTATATCCCCATCCTCAAGGCACTGCAGGTAACCATGGTAACACTTGTTGTATATCCCCATCCTTAAGGCACTGCAGGTAACCATGGTAACACTTGTTGTATATCCCCATCCTCAAGGCACTGCAGGTAACACTTGTTGTAGATCCCCATCCTTAAGGCACTGCAGGTAACACTTGTTGTATATCCCCATCCTTAAGGCACTGCAGGTAACACTTGTTGTATATCCCCATCCTTAAGGCACTGCAGGTAACACTTGTTGTATATCCCCATCCTTAAGGCACTGCAGGTAACACTTGTTGTATATCCCCATCCTCAAGGCACTGCAGGTAACACTTGTTGTATATCCCCATCCTTAAGGCACTGCAGGTAACACTTGTTGTATATCCCCATCCTTAAGGCACTGCAGGTAACACTTGTTGTATATCCCCATCCTTAAGGCACTGCAGGTAACACTTGTATATCCCCATCCTCAAGGCACTGCAGGTAACACTTGTTGTATATCCCCATCCTCAAGGCACTGCAGGTAACACTTGTTGTATATCCCCATCCTCAAGGCAGGTAACACTTGTTGCATATCCCCATCCTTAAGGCACTGCAGGTAACACTTGTTGTATATCCCCATCCTCAAGGCAGGTAACACTTGTTGTATATCCCCATCCTTAAGGCACTGCAGGTAACACTTGTTGCATATCCCCATCCTTAAGGCACTGCAGGTAACACTTGTTGTATATCCCCATCCTCAAGGCAGGTAACACTTGTTGTATATCCCCATCCTCAAGGCAGGTAACACTTGTTGTATATCCCCATCCTCAAGGCAGGTAACACTTGTTGTATATCCCCATCCTCAAGGCAGGTTACACTTGTTGTATATCCCCATCCTCAAGGCAGGTAACACTTGTTGTATATCCCCATCCTCAAGGCAGGTAACACTTGTTGTATATCCCCATCCTCAAGGCAGGTAACACTTGTTGTATATCCCCATCCTCAAGGCAGGTAACACTTGTTGTATATCCCCATCCTCAAGGCAGGTAACACTTGTTGTATATCCCCATCCTCAAGGCAGGTAACACTTGTATATGCCCATCCTCAAGGCAGGTAACACTTGTTGTATATCCCCATCCTTAAGGCACTGCAGGTAACACTTGTTGTATATCCCCATCCTCAAGGCACTGCAGGTAACACTTGTTGTATATCCCCATCCTCAAGGCACTGCAGGTAACACTTGTTGTATATCCCCATCCTCAAGGCAGGTTACACTTGTTGTATATCCCCATCCTCAAGGCAGGTAACACTTGTTGTATATCCCCATCCTCAAGGCAGGTAACACTTGTTGTATATCCCCATCCTCAAGGCAGGTAACACTTGTTGTATATCCCCATCCTCAAGGCAGGTAACACTTGTTGTATATCCCCATCCTCAAGGCAGGTAACACTTGTTGTATATCCCCATCCTCAAGGCAGGTAACATTTGTTGTATATCCCCATCCTCAAGGCAGGTAACACTTGTATATGCCCATCCTCAAGGCAGGTAACACTTGTTGTATATACCCATCCTCAAGGCAGGTGACACTTGATTCTCTACCCCACCTTCATTCAGTGATGATTTGTTTCAGGAATGTTTCCCCGGCAACATCCACATTGCCTATATAATCAAACCCGAGAAGTTCTGGGAGAAACAAAGGACGAGTCTAGGAAGTGCCAAGTACAACTTTGAGGTGAGTCCACCTTTTCTCATCCCAGCAATCATCCCATCTTTTTGTAGTGGCATCTGCAGTCCATAGCTACAGGAGATGACTTCATAACTGCTTTTGAATCTTACTGTCAGAATAGAGTTAGCATATGACACATCCTTGTCCTCGGTATACCTTTCACATCAGACAAATCGCCTCATGGTAGCACCCGTGAAGATCCGGGGTAGAATAGGTCTTCAGCAACCCATGCTTGCCATAACAGACGACTATGCTTGTCGTAAGAGGCGACTCACAGGATCAGGTGGTCAGGCTCACTGACTTGGTTGATGCATGTCATCGTATCCCAGTTGCGTTGATCGATGCTCATGATATCAATCACTGGATTGTCTGGTCCAGACTTGATTATTTACAGACCGCCGTCATATAGCTTGAATATTGCCGAGTGCGGCGTTAAACAACAAACAAACAAACCAAACCTAATGGAAGAAGGCCAGTGCCGCGTTGCTGTGGACAATCCAAATTACGATTTATTTGAGAAAACAAAAGTTGACAGGAACAAGCCGTGAGTGTTGCCACATAAATGTGATGCCCTGTCTATTGTGTGATGCCCTGTCTATTGTGTGATGCCCTGTCTAGTGTGTGATGCCCTGTCTAGTCTGTGATGCCCTGTCTAGTGTGTGATGCCCTGTCTAGCGTGTGATGCCCTGTCTAGTGTGTGATGCCCTGCCAAGTGTGTGATGCCCTGTCTATTGTGTGATGCCCTGTCTATTGTGTGATGCCCTGTCTAGTGTGTGATGCCCTGTCTAGTCTGTGATGCCCTGTCTAGTCTGTGATGCCCTGTCTAGTCTGTGATGCCCTGTCTAGTGTGTGATGCCCTGTCTAGTCTGTGATGCCCTGTCTAGTGTTTGATGCCCTGTCTAGTCTGTGATGCCCTGTCTAGTGTGTGATGCCCTGTCTGGTGTGTGATGCCCTGTCTAGTCTGTGATGCCCTGTCTAGTGTGTGATGCCCTGTCTAGTCTGTGATGCCCTGTCTATTGTGTGATGCCCTGTCTAGTCTGTGATGCCCTGTCTAGTGTGTGATGCCCTGTCTAGTGTGTGATGCCCTGTCTAGTGTGTGATGCCCTGTCTAGTCTGTGATGCCCTGTCTAGTGTGTGATGCCCTGTCTAGTCTGTGATGCCCTGTCTAGTGTGTGATGCCCTGTCTAGTGTGTGATGCCCTGTCTAGTCTGTGATGCCCTGTCTAGTCTGTGATGCCCTGTCTAGTCTGTGATGCCCTGTCTAGTGTGTGATGCCCTGTCTATTGTGTGATGCCCTGTCTAGTGTGTGATGCCCTGTCTAGTCTGTGATGCCCTGTCTAGTCTGTGATGCCCTGTCTGGTGTGTGATGCCCTGTCTAGCGTGTGATGCCCTGTCTATTGTGTGATGCCCTGTCTAGTGTGTGATTTCATGTCTAGTGTGTGATGCCCTGTCTATTATGTGAAGCCCTGTCTGGTGTGTGATGTCATGTCTAGTGTGTGATACCATCTTTCGTTGCAGACCAACATGATCTCACTGGACAGTCTTCAGAAAGTGATTGATCAGACTCAACTCACCCGGGAGTTTGAAGGATCTTTGGATTATGACCATGAGCAGTGGATTCAGCTACGACTGGTAGGACACTTCCTGGTTCTCTTGTAATAAGATAGCAAGTCCCTTTTGCGTTCATTTGATCAGGACCTTGTTTTGTATTGCCTGGAGTTGTACCTCACAGCTTCACTGGGGAAGTACATCACCACCTCCAGCTCTCCAGCAGTAACACACAATGTTCCTTGCCCATGGGTGTAATTGATGGGGCAGCTATTTTTAGTTCAGTGACTGTCAAATTCGACTCAAAACAAAGACAATTGGGAACAGGTATTATTCTAATATAATTGAGATATGGTATTGACATGAGATATGTTCTCCTGTTATTACTCCTACCTCACTTGATGTTTACACAGTAACTCATTCTCCCTTTTTTACACACAAACCACCCCCACCCCTGTTACAACACCCCAGATCAGTCCCCTGTTACAACACCCCAGCTCACATTCCCCTGTTACTACACCCCAGCTCACACACACCTGTTACTACACCCCAGCTCACATTCCCCTGTTACTACACCCCAGCTCACACACACCTGTTACTACACCCCATGCTTATGCCTCTGTTACTACACCCCAGCTCAAGCCCCTGTTACTACACCCCAGCTCACACACACACCTGTCACTACACCCCATGCTCATGCCTCTGTTATCACTGCAGCTCATGCCCCTGTTACTACACCCCAGCTCACACACACACCTGTTACTACACCCCAGCTCAAGCCCCTGTTATTACACCCCAGCTCACTCCCCTGTTACTACACCCCAGCTCACACACACACCTGTTACTACACCCCAGCTCAAGCCCCTGTTATTACACCCCATCTCACTCCCCTGTTACTACACCCCAGTTCAAGCCCCTGTTATTTTACACGCTATTCCTAGCTAGAATTGTTACTACACCCCAGCTCACACACACACACCTGTTTCTACACCCCAGCTCACACACACCTGTTACTACACCCCAGCTCATGCCTCTGTTACTACACCCCAGCTCATACACACACCTGTTACTACACCCCAGCTCACTCCCCTGTTACTACACCCCAGCTCACACAAACACCTGTTACTACACCCCAGCTCATGCCTCTGTTACTACACCCCAGCTCACTCCCCGGTTACTACACCCCAGCTCACACACACACCTGTTACTACACCCCAGCTCATGCCTCTGTTACTACACCGCAGCTCAAGCCCCGTTACTACACCCCAGCTCACACACACACCTGTTACTACACCCCAGCTCATGCCTCTGTTACTACGCCGCAGCTCAAGCCCCGTTACTACACCCCAGCTCACACACACACCTGTTACTACACCCCAGCTCATGCCTCTGTTACTACACCGCAGCTCAAGCCCCGTTACTACACCCCAGCACACACACACACCTGTTACTACACCCCATCTCACTCCTCTGTTACTACACCCCAGTTCAAGCCCCTGTTATTTTACATGCTATTCCTCACTGGAATTGTTCCCAGCCCCCCATGCTTGCCGTAAGAGGTAACTTAATGGATTAGGTGTTCAGACTTGCTGACTTGGTGTAGTGTGATCCGACCTTATGGCTGGATTGTTTCTCACTGGATTGTGTGGTCCAGATTTGATTATTTTCAGGCTGCTTCATATAGCTGAATATTGCTGAGCGCTGATTTAAGCAACAATGTTTCTGTGTGTAGATGCTGGAGGAATTCATCTGGAAGGCTCTGGACTTGCTGGACAAGTTGGATGAGCTGGGTGAGATCCTGACCAACCCCGAGCTGCCGGACGACCTGAACGGGTCACAACAGCTGCTGGAGGAACATAACCACCTAAAGAAGCGGGTGACCCTCGCCCCCGTAGAGAACCTGGCTGCGGAGGGCCACCACATACTTCGCAAGATCACAGGCGATGAGGAGAGCCAGTCAGGTGACTATAGCAACTGTCACAGACACACCTCACAGTAGACAAGCTAGTTCTTGGGTGATAGTTTTCATCTAGTTCTCCTCGGTGAGAAACTTATAGGAAAGATAATTCATCTTGAGCAGAAGTTAGATTTGGAGTGTTGTGGATCCTGTAAGCCACTGAAGTAACACGGTATGTAATGCAGGTACTGGTCGTGGGTTTGTAGTGTCAGGCAACGCAGACTTCCAGAGTGCTGTGCCGCAGATCTCGCAGCTACTGGACAACCTCCACTCCACCAAGCAGCATCTGAACCAGCTGTGGACCGTCAAGAAGATGAGGCTGGAGCAGTGCCTTCAGCTGCGCATCTTTGAGGAGGACGTGGAGAAAGTGAGTACCGGTGTCAGGCGGCCGACAGTTGAGTATTGGGTCAGGGATGGAGAAAGTGAGTACCGGTATCAGAGGTCCGACAGTTGAGTATGGGGGTCAGGGATTGAGAAAGTGAGTACCGGTGTCAAGGGGCCGACAGTTGAGTATGGGGTCAGGGATGGAGAAAGTGAGTACCGGTGTCAAGGGGCCGACAGTTGAGTAAGGGGGTCAGGGATGGAGAAAGTGAGTACTGGTGTCAAGGGGCGGACAGTTGAGTATGGGGGTCAGGGATGGAGAAAGTGAGTACCGGTGTCAAGGGGCGGACAGTTGAGTAAGGGGGTCAGGGATGGAGAAAGTGATTACCTGTGTCAGGGCGCCGACAGTTGAGTATGGGTGTCAGGGATGGAGAAACTGAGTACCGGTGTCAACTTTTGATCAAAGTGGGTATTGGGTGGGTGAGGGGGTGGAAGGGAAAAGTAGGTATCGGAGTGGGGAATGAGTGCGAGTGTATGTCCGGGTGGGGAAAGTGGCACCAGCGTTTACTTCTTTGTTTAAATTGTGTGTGTCTCAACATACAAAACATACATCATGATCTCTGTCTGTGTTTTTGCAGATGTTTGACTGGATTAGTCATAACCGAGATCTGTTTCTAGTCAACTATACAGAAATCGGGACATCTCACCAGTTTGCTGTTGAACTGGAATCTGAACATAGTCAATTTGCTACTAGTGCTGTGGTAAGCATATTTTACACATTCTATTTGCTGACATTCCTGTTGTTGTAGGAGCCACTTAGATCACTCTTGGCAACTACTGACTTGACAGTAACAGCCACTTTAAGTGTCCAGATTCTGCAGAAGAATAAAATTAAGATTGTCATCCAATTGGGATCCAGTTATTGCTTTGTTACATTGCGAGGGAAACAGTTTGAGCCTGGAGTCAGAAAGCAGCTGATAGCTGGATGGATGGGAAGGCCGACTTCCTCTCACACAGCGGCCCAATCTAGTCAACCCCCAACCCTCCCGGGGGCCCGTTGTTCTGTGATGGCTGCATTCATGCTATCACGACCTGGACCAGCCTGGACCAGCCTCATCACATTCAGAAGATGTCATGATGTTGCATCACAGAAACTCCCTGTTTCCAAGTCTGTGTTACTGAACACCTGATGCAAACCTACAAATGTCACTGTACGCCTCATAAAAGCAGACAAAGAGCACAATTCTCAATAGTGAAGTTTTATAAACTATGGCAACACCAAAAGAAATTACTGGAGTTTTGATGGAATCACCATGACAATGTGTTTGTTTCAGAATGTAAATGTACATGATCTGTTTGTTTCAGAATGTATATGTGAATATAACTCGTATCCTGGGGATGGCGCAGCGTCTGTGTGATGCCGGACACTACGCTTCCAAGACAATCCGCATGCAGGCTGGGAAACTAGAGCGAGAGTGGAAGAGTCTGGCCGCTGCCCTCGACGACCGGAGCACTGTCCTGCGCATGTCGGTCATGTTCCACAAGAAGGCAGAGCAGGTGGGTTCCACCAATGTTGTCATACTTGCATACGAAATGTTTCTTGGAATGGATGAAATGTTTCTCCAGTTATAAAATGTGTGAAATATTTCTCTCATCATTGGAAAGAATGAAATCTTCTCTTGTTATTGGAACGTTGGAAGTGGTTAAAGTCTCAGTTTGATGTAGTTTGACATGGCGTGTTAATTGTGGTGTTTAACATGGTGTGTTGTTGGTGGTGTTTAACATGGCGTGTTAATTGTGGTGTTTAACATGGTGTGTTGATGTTGTTTGAGATGACGTGTTGTTGATGTTGTTAAACATGGTGTGTTGATGTTGTTTAACATGGTGTGTTGTTGATGTTGTTTAACATGGTGTGTTGTTGGTGGTGTTTAACATGGTGTGTTGTTGGTGGTGTTTAACATGGTGTGTTGTTGATGTTGTTTAACATGGTGTGTTGTTGATGTTGTTTAACATGGTGTGTTGTTAGTGGTGTTTAACATGGTCTGTTGTTGATGTTGTTTAACATGGTGTGTTGTTGATGTTGTTTAACATGGTGTGTTGTTGGTGTTGTTTAACATGGTGTGTTGATGTAGTTTAACATGGTGTGTTGTTGATGTTGTTTAACATGGTGTGTTGTTGATGTTGTTTAACATGGCGTGTTGTTGGTGGTGTTTAACATGGTGTGTTGTTGGTGGTGTTTAACATGGTGTGTTGTTGATGTTGTTTAACATGGTGTGTTGTTAGTGGTGTTTAACATGGTGTGTTGTTGGTGTTGTTTAACATGGTGTGTTGATGTAGTTTAACATGGTGTGTTGTTGATGTTGTTTAACATGGTGTGTTGTTGGTGTTGTTTAACATGGTGTGTTGTTGGTGGTGTTTAACGTGGTGTGTTGTTGATGTTGTTTAACATGGTGTGTTGTTGATGTTGTTTAACATGGTGTGTTGTTAGTGGTGTTTAACATGGTGTGTTGTTGATGTTGTTTAACATGGTGTGTTGTTGATGTTGTTTAACATGGTGTGTTGTTGGTGGTGTTTAACATGGTGTGTTGTTGGTGTTGTTTAACATGGTGTGTTGATGTAGTTTAACATGGTGTGTTGTTGATTTTGTTTAACATGGTGTGTTGTTGATGTTGTTTAACATGGTGTGTTGTTGATGTTGTTTTACATGGCGTGTTGTTGTTGGTGTTTAACATGGTGTGTTGTTGGTGTTGTTTAACATGGTGTGTTGTTGATGTTGTTTAACATGGCGTGTTGTTGATGGTGTTTAACATGGTGTGTTGTTGGTGGTGTTTAACATGGTGTGTTGTTGATGTTGTTTAACATGGTGTGTTGTTGATGTTGTTTAACATGGTGTGTTGATGTAGTTTAACATGGTGTGTTGTTGATGTTGTTTAACATGGTGTGTTGTTGATGTTGTTTAACATGGTGTGTTGTTGGTGGTGTTTAACATGGTGTGTTGTTGGTGTTGTTTAACATGGTGTGTTGATGTAGTTTAACATGGTGTGTTGTTGATGTTGTTTAACATGGTGTGTTGTTGATGTTGTTTAACATGGCGTGTTGTTGGTGGTGTTTAACATGGTGTGTTGTTGGTGGTGTTTAACATGGTGTGTTGTTGATGTTGTTTAACATGGTGTGTTGTGAGTGGTGTTTAACATGGTGTGTTGTTGGTGTTGTTAAACATGGTGTGTTGATGTAGTTTAACATGGTGTGTTGTTGATGTTGTTTAACATGGTGTGTTGTTGATGTTGTTTAACATGGTGTGTTGTTGGTGGTGTTTAACATGGTGTGTTGTTGGTGGTGTTTAACATGGTGTGTTGTTGATGTTGTTTAACATGGCGTGTTGTTGATGTTGTTTAACATGGTGTGTTGTTGGTGGTGTTTAACATGGTGTGTTGTTGATGTTGTTTAACATGGTGTGTTGTTGATGTTGTTTAACATGGTGTGTTGATGTAGTTTAACATGGTGTGTTGTTGATGTTGTTTAACATGGTGTGTTGTTGATGTTGTTTAACATGGTGTGTTGTTGGTGTTGTTTAACATGGTGTGTTGTTGGTGTTGTTTAACATGGTATGTTGTTGGTGTTGTTTAACATGGTGTGTTGATGTAGTTTAACATGGTGTGTTGTTGATGTTGTTTAACATGGTGTGTTGTTGATGTTGTTTAACATGGTGTGTTGTTGATGTTGTTTAACATGGCGTGTTGTTGGTGGTGTTTAACATGGTGTGTTGTTGGTGGTGTTTAACATGGTGTGTTGTTGATGTTGTTTAACATGGTGTGTTGTTGGTGGTGTTTAACATGGTGTGTTGTTGGTGTTGTTTAACATGGTGTGTTGATGTAGTTTAACATGGTGTGTTGTTGATGTTGTTTAACATGGTGTGTTGTTGATGTTGTTTAACATGGCGTGTTGTTGGTGGTGTTTAACATGGTGTGTTGTTGGTGGTGTTTAACATGGTGTGTTGTTGATGTTGTTTAACATGGTGTGTTGTGAGTGGTGTTTAACATGGTGTGTTGTTGGTGTTGTTAAACATGGTGTGTTGATGTAGTTTAACATGGTGTGTTGTTGATGTTGTTTAACATGGTGTGTTGTTGATGTTGTTTAACATGGCGTGTTGTTGGTGGTGTTTAACATGGTGTGTTGTTGGTGGTGTTTAACATGGTGTGTTGTTGATGTTGTTTAACATGGCGTGTTGTTGATGGTGTTTAACATGGTGTGTTGTTGGTGGTGTTTAACATGGTGTGTTGTTGATGTTGTTTAACATGGTGTGTTGTTGATGTTGTTTAACATGGTGTGTTGATGTAGTTTAACATGGTGTGTTGTTGATGTTGTTTAACATGGTGTGTTGTTGATGTTGTTTAACATGGTGTGTTGTTGGTGTTGTTTAACATGGTGTGTTGTTGGTGTTGTTTAACATGGTATGTTGTTGGTGTTGTTTAACATGGTGTGTTGATGTAGTTTAACATGGTGTGTTGTTGATGTTGTTTAACATGGTGTGTTGTTGATGTTGTTTAACATGGCGTGTTGTTGATGGTGTTTAACATGGTGTGTTGTGAGTGGTGTTTAACATGGTGTGTTGTTAGTGGTGTTTAACATGGTGTGTTGTTGATGGTGTTTAACATGGTGTGTTGTTGGTGTTGTTTAACATGGTGTGTTGTTGGTGGTGTTTAACATGGCGTGTTGTTGATGTTGTTTAACATGGTGTGTTGTTGATGTTGTTTAACATGGCGTGTTGTTGGTGGTGTTTAACATGGCGTGTTGTGAGTGGTGTTTAACATGGTGTGTTGTTGGTGGTGTTTAACATGGTGTGTTGTTGATGTTGTTAAACATGGCGTGTTGTTGGTGGTGTTTAACATGGCGTGTTGTTGGTGGTGTTTAACATGGTGTGTTGTTGATGTTGTTTAACATGGTGTGTTGTTGATGTTGTTTAACATGGTGTGTTGTTGATGTTGTTTAACATGGTGTGTTGTTGGTGTTGCAGTACCTGGCTCAGGTAACAAGCTGGCAGAATGTGTGTGAGAACCTGCGGATACCATCTCACATTGAGGACCTGGAAGAGGCGCTCCAGCAACACCAGAACCTCATCGAGACCATCACACAAACCTACGCTGAGGTCAGTAACCATGGCAATACATGTATGTTATCGTTGGATCATATGTTTTCGGACATTATATGTTTATCGCGAGTACCCCTGTTATGACAAGGGTTGTGGCGTCTCACAGAGATTGTAAATACTCAGATGATGGCTTGACTTTTTAAACTAAAGTTGTCTTTTAGAAGTGAGTGAAATGTTTTACAGCTTTCTTGTGACTAGTGAGAAAACTATGTATGTTTCTTAAGCATCAGAAAATCCATAACACGGGGATACTACAATAGACCTGTGAAGATCCAGTGTAGAATAGGAGTTCAGCAACCCATGCTTGCCGTAGAAAGGCGACTATGCTTGTCGTAAGAGGCAACTAACGGGATCAGGTGGTCAGGCTTGCTGACATGGTTGATGTATGTCATCATATCCCAATTGCGTGAATCGATGCTGATGATATCAATTACTGGATTGTCTGGTCCAGACTAGATTATTTACAGACCGCCGTCATATAGCTGGAATATTGCCGAGTGTAGCATTAAACAACAAACAACAACAATACAACAATAAGCTGAGGTAACTGAGGCAACAAGTACTTCTGTAACTGGACAAGTGTGCTTGTCAGTATATTGTACAATAAAGAGAATCTCGCACTATACATTAGCCCAACTTTCAAATGAGTTAGTTTGTAGTCGTGTAATTTTAAGCAATTAGTAATCTCTTTCAATGGTTGTCAGCGGTAGAAACTAACAGTTTTAGTCCACTAGTCCTCATAATGATAACATATAGCACAATTCTTAAGGCTTAAAAAAATTAAAGAATTGGTTCTCAGGCAATGGCTGTTGAAAATATTGTGCGGGCGGGTGGTGTATATTTATTGCGGGTTGTTCAAGCTAGTATGTAACTAAATTTTGTTTTCAAAAATAATGTTGTTCTTAAGTATTGTAGCATTTCACTGCCGGGGTTGTGTGTTCGAGATGCGGAATATTTAAAGATTTAAAAAAAAAATTAAAATGGAAATAATAAGGAAACATGGAGCGGACTTCATGATGATGTGGGTGGTCCCTGAGAACCAAGACTATTATATTTTTTTGGGCCTAAAAGTGGCAAATTTCTTCTAGTCCTTATGATGCCTTAACAACTGGGCAGTTTGGCAAGGACTACAGGACTAGTGCCAATATCTAATGCTGTTGTGTGAACCTTCTGCAATGTTTTGTGAGCAGGTGTGTGGGGACGGTAAGTCTCTACTGGACACACTCCAGACGCCGGTATCGTCCGGCTCCAGCAACTCTCTGACGGCCAAGGCGGACTACTCAGAAGCTGCTGGACATGTGCTGGACGTCGTCCACGAGGTAATGTCATCATGGAGACTCTACATTCATATGTCCTTATAAGGAGTAAAGATAAACGTCACATGCTGTATGTGGTGAATGCAGTTAGTTGACAACAATGAAAAACAAAACTGATTTCATCTGTTAAAACAAAACCATCATCACATGATAACATAAAACTTTCTTATGTCTGCAGTAGAGATGTCAATGTGTCAGCAGTACAGCTGCTCACTGACAGGATACAGGCGATGTTCACTAAGGGGAGATAATTATGTCTTCAGAATTTTCAAATTGTCTCCCCTTTGTCCATTGAGATTACGCTTGAGTCTGCATGTTTGAGTACTGTGGAACCCTGTCAATGTGTCAGGCTGGGTTTCTTGTGTCCTGATAAACAAATCATTACTTGGGGTTACATATGTTGGAAACACTGAATAAATTATTAATTCTTTTGGTTAAAATCATTATGTAAAAAAAATACTGAAAAGTTACATTTGAATTGGTGCAATATTTTGTATTGTTATTACCGTATTCGACGTAATAAGCCCCCAGGGCGCTCTCAAAATTAGAAAAAGGGGTCTCTCATAGAATATTGTTTTGGTAAGAAAAAATAACAGAGTTGAAAGATTGTTAATATTGTGATTTATGCTGACAGCCTAATATGATACTAAAGAAAAATCTGTGTGTATTATACATGACAGATATATTTTCCAGAAATTAAATGACCATTCTTAATGGTGCATATAACACATGAGTGCTTATTATGCACAAATAAATAAGTCTTGTGTACACTGGTCATTAGGAAGGGGTGCTAATTGGGATTGTTCACTAGCCAATACATTAGCAAATATCGCCGTGGGCGCTTATTAGAACGGGGCTCTTATTATGTCCAATACGGTATTACATTATATGTTTCATTATGTTAAATGTGACCTTTAAATTAGTGCAATATTTAGTATTTTAGAAGAATAATTATTCTTAAATTGCACTCATACAAATGTAACTTTTCATTTTTATTTTCACATATTGATGTTATACTTAAAAATAAGTAAAATAAGTTTCTGTATGTTCACCAATCAATCAATCAATCAATCAATTTCAGTAATTTTAGGCCTCATGCCTTTGTGTACGAACATTACTGTACAGGCGGAAGTACAGTTAACCGTACATTTCTTTCTGACACGTGAAGATTCAGGGTAGAATAGGTCTTCGGCAACCCATGCTTGTCTTAAAAGGTGACTGTGCTTGTCATAAGAGGCAACTAACGGGATCGGGTGGTCAGCCTCGCTGACTTGGTTGATGTATGTCATCGTATCTCAATTGTGTGGATCGATGCTCATGATATCAATCACTGGATTGTCTGGTCCAGACTCGATTATTTACAGACTGCCGTCATATAGCTGGAATACTGCTTAGTCTGGCGTTAAACAACAAATAAACAAACATGGTGCATAGTACAAATATTTACTAAATTTGTAATAATCTTGGCGAATAACATCCAAATGGATGGACAAAGATAATAGTGAGTGTTATTGTATAGTTGTCTGAACTGTACATATGCTGGACACACTAAAAGGAAATTGAATTAAGTTTCAATGTAGTTTAGATCACAAAGTTCAAATTAGTAAAATTTCTAGGTATATCGAACTAGTGCCACATTCAATTTCCAAATCATGACAACATGAACGAAAATAAGAAAGAGCATTTTTCGAATTTGCTTTGTGTCCTAAAGTTCAAAAAGTTTTCACAGTCTATAGAAAACTTTAAATTTCAGGACATAGTAAATCATTATGGCAAATTTGTTGGAATTTGTCCTTTAAACATTGTTGAAACATATTTAGAAAGTACATTTTTGTTACCATGCATTAGAATGCACGGACAGTTTGTTAACTTTGTAACCCAATTTACCTGACCTAGCTCATCATACTAGCACATCATATCAGAACATTTTGGGGGGTAAATGACCCTGGGGCATTTTCAAAATATTTGACCAATACTTTCCATATCATGAATTAGCCTTGTGATCAGGGGATTGTTGTGTGACATGTGTGACCGTGTGTGCAGGTGCTTGCCCACCAGCGCCATCTGGAGCAGATCTGGCACGCCAAGAAGGTGAAGCTGCACCAGCGTCTCGGGCTACGTCTCTTCCAGCAGGACGTCAAACAGGTCAGTCTGTCCTCTACTTGAATACACGACACTCTCAGTGCTAATGTCTCAGTATCAGGTCATACTTGAATACACGACACTCTCAGTGCTAATGTCTCAGTATCAGGTCATACTTGAATACACGACACTCTCAGTGCTAATGTCTCAGTATCAGGTCATACTTGAATACACGACACTCTCAGTGCTAATGTCTCAGTATCAGGTCATACTTGAACAAATAGATACGATTCTATGTAAGTATTGACTTTAATTGTTTTGCAGTTGTCATGAGTCAAAAAACCTGCTTGCAGACTGGCCTTAATTATGTCAATTCATCAAATTGTGACTTCACTCAACACCACCTGATGCTCTCTGTTCTCAGGTTATTGACTGGCTGGACAACCATGGAGACATTTTTCTGGCCAAAAATACATCAATCGGAAAGTCATTACAACGGGCAAAAGCATTACAGAAAAGTCACGAACATTTTGAATCTGTGGCACAGGTAAGATTACTTTTTCATCTTCAGAGATATTTTGTGTTGGGATCATGTTGTTTGCCAGAACTAGTATGTGGACACCGATGTGTATAAAGAGCAGTGTAGGTGCCATGGTGAGGATGGTATGGTATTAGGTGTCATGGTAAGGATGGTATGGTATTAGGTGTCATGGTGAGGATGGTATGGTATTAGGTGTCAATGGTTTTGACGACACCCTGGTCACCTGTTCTTTATGAACTTGCAGGGCACCATGCAACCTGTGATGGGAAATCCTACACTTTTGACATAGATTTACTGTGAATTTAGCTGTAAGATTGCTAAGTGGAACGAGTCCATTTGTTTAAGTGTTTGTTTCCTCATTTCTTAGGTGTGGCGATACCACACTGACCTCGTTTGTGGTATTATTCTTTTGAAACTGGATAGGAACATGTGACTGACATGATGAATGATGAACAGCCAGTAATCCAGCATTTAAACATGCTCTTGTGACTTGCTTGATAAATATGTAATGCATAGGAACCTGGCCTTGTTCATCACACTATCTTCTAAATGTCCATCAAAGAAAGGTTACATTGATCAGATAAAACTACCAGCATCAGTCGGGGTCACGTTTCTCTGGAGAAGTCGGCTCAGCACGTTCAGATTGTCTCCCCTTTGACCATGATCCTGAGTGTGGCCTCCTTTCATTGACAGTTTCAGTTTCATGTTTCACCTCACCTCACTCAGCAATATTCCAGCTATATGACGACCAGACAATCCAGTGATTGACATCATAAGCATCGATCCTCACAATTGGGATACGATGACATGCATCAACCGAGTCAGCGAGCCTGACCACCCGATCCCGTTAGTCACCTTTTTCAGCAAGCATGGGTTGCAGATGGCTTGATCTACCCCGGATCCTCTCACTGACAGTTCTTATGACTTCATACATGGTGCAGTTTATTTGTGTTCGTCATTGTATCAATTTCCAACAATCTGTTCATCCTACCTTCAGTGTCAAGGTCATCATCATCATACTGTTTCATGGTTTATAGAAATTAGAAAAGAAGTATTTGTCTCATTCGAGGTTCGTATTCCTGTTTTAGCCTCACTACAGAGGAGGGACAGGGTTAGGGGCCATTGTCTGTTGACTTTTGGCAATGTGGTTCACTAATAATGAATATAGCGAAGCTTAAATACATGCCAACAAATAGAAACATGCTAATTGAAACTTTTTGTATGCAATATTACCTGACATATGTGGGGGGACTCTACAAAGTTTAAAGTTTGCAAACATAGAATATGACTATGTTAATAGTGTGGAGGATATTATGGTAAGCCGCTGAAAAATTACTTACACTTTTGTGGGAAAAGAAAAATAATATTATTGGTGTGGGCAGGAGGGCAAAATTTTGGATTTGGAGTGAAAAATGTGGACTGCATATGTTCTGCGCTTTTATGGTGCTTATGGGAAATGTTATAAAAGGAAGTCCAAAACATGGAAATTACCGGAACGACGCGAATGATTGAAAGGCACAGTCAGCGGTAATTAGGCATTTTGAAGAAGGGGCAGGGTTAAGGGCCATTGTCTGTTGACTTGTGGGAAGATTGTTGGGGAAGGGAAATTCGCAGTCAGACAACAACGGAGATGCAGGGAAAGCAATGCATCAGCGAAATAATACATACAGCATTTATCAACCCGGTGTATCAGCCCATGACAGTCGATTGCTGGGGAATATATTTCTTAGGGAGGTCATATCTCCATTAAAGCCCTGGGAGATTATTTTGACATATTGATATGTTATGTCAAGAGTCATGCTCATGTGTTCTCACTTAACTCAAGAAGAACTCAAGAAGGATGTACAGTAGATGAGCGACCCTTGGTACATTGCTTCCTCAGATTGGGAAAGGTCATAGGTTATATTAGGTCAGTGTCACGGTGAGGGAGGGGCGGTGGGGTAGCCTAGTGGTTAAAGTGTTTGCTCATCATGCCAAGGGCCCGGGTTCGATTCCCCACATGGTACAAAGTGTTAAGCCAATTTCTGGTGTCCTCTGACGTGATATTGCTGGAATATAACTAAAAGCAGCGTAAAACCTCACTCACTCACTCACTCACTCACTCACTCACTCACAGTGAAGGTCACTCACTCTCTCACTCACTCACTCACTCACTCACAGTGAAGGTCACTCTCTCACTCACTCACACACTCACTCTCTCACTCACAGTGAAGGTCACTCACTCACTCACTCACTCACTCACTCACTCACTCACTCACTCACTCACTCACTCACTCACTCACTCACTCACTCACTCTCTCACTTACTCACTCACTCACTCACTCACAGTGAAGGTCACTCACTCTCTCACTCACTCACTCACTCACAGTGAAGGTCACTCTCTCACTCACTCACTCACTCACTCACTCTCTCACTCACAGTGAAGGTCACTCACTCACTCACTCACTCACTCTCTCACTTACTCACTCACTCACTCACTCACTCACAGTGAAGGTCACTCACTCTCTCACTCACTCACTCACTCACTCACTCACAGTGAAGGTCACTCTCTCACTCACTCACTCACTCTCTCACTCACAGTGAAGGTCACTCACTCACTCACTCACTCACAGTGAAGGTCACTCATAGAGTTTACTATTTTCACCTACATGCTTTTTTCTTCACACATTGTAAAAGTCTAATTGGTATAAGTTGGTTAGATCGTTTCAAGACATGTATGACAACCTATGCCAGGTCACAATGACCTACTTTCAATGAGAAGCATATGCCATGTCATTCCACCGAGGGACATTGTATTTGGATTATATGATGGGTGTTTTTGAAATACTTGCAACTGGTATTGAAGGCCAAATTCACTTCAAGGTCATCGTTCTACAATACATTCACTTCACAATAGCTCAAGAAGTATTGTTATTGAATGAAATTTGGTAATCATCTTTAGGGGGGGTGACGTTTTGAGAATCTTCATGGAAGGTCAGGGTCATTTGTAAGGCACTTTGTGTACTGAATAACAGACCCGTGAAGACCTGTGAAGATCCGGGGTAGAACAGGTCTTCAGCAGCCCATGCTTGCCGTAACAGGCGACCATGCTTGTGATAAGAGGCAACTAACGGAATCGGGTGGTCAGACTCGCTGACTTGGTTGATGTATGTCATCGTATCCCAATTGTGTGGATCAGTGCTCATGATGTCAATCACTGGATTGTCTGGTCCAGACTGGAATATTTACAGACAGCTGTGTTTTAGCTGGAATATTGCTATGTGCAGCTTTAAACAACAAACAAACAAACAATGATAGCACTTAAAGTCAATAAATCAATTGTTAAATCAGTTTCCGATCAATAGTATCAATTTCAGTTAGGAATATCGATAGTTTTGATTGTATTTACCATATTAATAAAATACACGCAATGCTGTTTTTCTTTTGATCATGAGAGGTAGTAATTTACACATGGTAATGTGGAAGTTTCTTTTTCTTAAATTATTAGGGTAAAAAAAACCAAATCAGTCATATCTCAAACTTTACTTTTTATTTGTTGTTATGGCTATCACATTCAAAGAAAACTTCAGTTCCAAGGTTTAATTCAACTCTAAAATCCATCTAAAATGATACACTGAAAACTATCGATATGTATCGCAATAGTTGCTTGCAATATCAATAGTTATCGCAAAAAGTTCTTTCAATATCAATAGCTATCGCAATAGTGATTTCCAGACCAATAGTCACCCCTACTGTTCTACCTACCTACCTACTGTTCATGTATGGCAGCCAGATTAGGCTGGGACAGAAACAACGCCTCTGTCTGTCTGTCTGTCTGTCTGGCTGTCTGGCTGGCTGGCTGGCTGTCTGTCTGGCTGTCTGGCTGTCTGGCTGTCTGGCTGTCTGTCTGGCTGTCTGTCTGGCTGGCTGGCTGTCTGTCTGGCTGTCTGGCTGTCTGGCTGGCTGGCTGGCTGTCTGTCTGTCTGTCTCTCTGTCTGTCTGTCTCTCTGTCTGTCTGTCTCTCTGTCTGTCTGTCTCTCTGTCTGTCTCTCTGTCTGTCTGTCTGGCTGTCTGTCTGTCTGTCTGTCTGTCTGTCTGTCTCTCTGTCTGTCTGTCTCTCTGTCTCTCTGTCTGTCTGTCTCTCTGTCTGTCTCTCTGTCTGTCTGGCTGGCTGGCTGGCTGGCTGGCTGTCTGGCTGTCTGGCTGTCTGGCTGGCTGGCTGTCTGTCTGTCTCTCTGTCTGTCTGTCTGGCTGGCTGGCTGGCTGGCTGGCTGTCTGTCTGTCTGGCTGTCTGTCTCTCTGTCTCTCTGTCTGTCTGTCTCTCTGTCTGTCTGGCTGTCTGTCTGTCTGTCTGTCTGTCTGTCTGGCTGTCTGTCTGTCTGGCTGGCTGGCTGTCTGGCACGCTGGCTGGCTGTCTGTCTGTCTGTCTGTCTGGCTGTCTGTCTGTCTGGCTGGCTGTCTGTCTGTCTGGCTGTCTGTCTGTCTGGCTGGCTGGCTGGCTGGCTGGCTGGCTGGCTGGCTGGCTGGCTGGCTGTCTGTCTGGCTGGCTGGCTGGCTGGCTGGCTGGCTGGCTGGCAGTCTGGCTGTCTGTCTGTCTGGCTGTCTGTCTGTCACCCCTACTGTTCTACCTATCTACCTACTGTTCATGTATGGCAGCCAGATTAGGCTGGGACAGAAACAACGCCTCTGTCTGTCTGTCTGGCTGGCTGGCTGGCTGTCTGGCTGTCTGGCTGGCTGGCTGGCTGGCTGTCTGGCTGTCTGTCTGTCTGGCTGTCTGTCTGTCTATCTGGCTGGCTGTCTGGCTGGCTGGCTGGCTGTCTGGCTGGCTGGCTGGCTGGCTGGCTGGCTGGCTGTCTGTCTGTCTGTCTGTCTCTCTGTCTGTCTCTCTGTCTCTCTGTCTGTCTGTAAGTTCTAGAAAGGATGTGAACATGAATGGATTGCTTCCACATTCCTGGGGAAGCCCCTGGGAATTCCCAGGCACAAATAAGTACAGAGCTGATGTTGATGATCATGTTGATCACTTTGACACTACATGGTGTTTGATTGCATGACCGTGCGAAAATATCACTGTGAACTATCACGACAGTCAACAGTCTCGGAAAGTACTGCAGCACCTAGTCATACCATCTGTTTCATCACTTGGCAATCATAGGCCATTTCAGTATTGATGAAGAACGCATCATCTGGTACTGTAACGGTACAGTGAACAGTGTTGTGTCCTGATACGAGGCCCGCCATACAATACATGGATTTACAAGCCCTGTATGACGATACATATGATACATTGATTCACAAGCCCTGTATCACGATACATAGGATACATTGATTTACAAGCCTTGTATCACGATACATAGGATACATTGATTCACAAGCCCTGTATCACGATACATAGGATACATTGATTTACAAGCCCTGTATTACGATACATAGGATACATTGATTTACAAGCCCTGTATCACGATACATTGATTCACAAGCCCTGTATCACGATACATATGATACATTGATTTACAAGCCTGTATCACGATACATATGATACATTGATTAACAAGCCTTGTATCACGATACATAGGATACATTGATTCACAAGCCCTGTATCACGATACATAGGATACATTGATTTACAAGCCTTGTATCACGATACATACGATATATTGATTTACAAGCCTTGTATCATGATACATAGGATACATTGATTTACAAGCCCTGTATCATGATACATAGGATACATTGATTTACAAGCCCTGTATCACAATACATACAATACATTGATTTACAAGCCCTGTATCATGATACATAGGATACATTGATTTACAAGCCCTGTATCACGATACATACAATACATGGATTTACAAGCCCTGTATCATGATACATAGGATACATTGATTTACAAGCCCTGTATCACGATACATAGGATACATTGATTAACAAGCCCTGTATCACGATACATATGATACATGGATTTACAAGCCCTGTATCACGATACATATGATGCATTTAATTTACAAGCCCTGTATCACGATACATATGGTACATTGATTCACATGCCCTGTATCACGATACATAGGATACATGGATTTACAAGCCCTGTATCACGATACATATGATACATTAATTTACAAGCCCTGTATCACGATACATATGGTACATTGATTCACATGCCCTGTATCACGATACATAGGATACATTGATTCACAAGCCCTGTATCACGATACATATGATACATTGGTTTACAAGCCCTGTATCACGATACATATGATACATTGATTCACAAGCCCTGTATCACGATACATATGATACATTGATTCACAAGCCCAGTATCACGATACATATGATACATTGATTTACAAGCCCTGTATCACGATACATATGATACATTGATTCACATGCCCTGTATCATGATACATAGGATACATTGATTTACAAGCCCTGTATCACGATACATAGGATACATTGATTTACGAGCCCTCTAGCCTTTATGTTTCTGCCCTGTGACTGAACCAGTGTGATGACTGAACCAGTGTGATGACTGAACCATTGTCAGGACTGAACCATTTTTGTAACTGAAGCAGTGCCATGACTGAACCATTGTCATGACTGAACCAGTGCCGTGTTTGAACCATTGTCATGACTGAACCAGTGCCGTGTTTGAACCATTGTCATGACTGAATCAGTGCCGTGTTTGAACCCTTGTCATGACTGAACCAGTGCCGGGACTGAACCAGTGTGATGACTGAACCAGTGCCGGGACTGAACCAGTGTTGTGACTGAACCAGTGCCGGGACTGAACCAGTGTGATGACTGAACCAGTGCCGGGACTGAACCAGTGTGATGACTGAACCAGTGCCGGGACTGAACCAGTGTTGTGACTGAACCAGTGTTGTGACTGAACCAGTGTTGTGACTGAACCAGTGCCGGGACTGAACCAGTGTGATGACTGAACCAGTGTTGTGACTGAACCAGTGTTGTGACTGAACCAGTGCCGGGACTGAACCAGTGTGATGACTGAACCAGTGCCGGGACTGAACCGGTGTCTGACTGAACCAGTGTTGTGACTGAACCAGTGTCTGACTGAACCAGTGTTGTGACTGAACCAGTGTGAAGACTGAACCAGTGTGATGACTGAACCATTGTCAGGACTGAACCATTTTTGTAACTGAAGCAGTGCCATGACTGAACCATTGTCATGACTGAACCAGTGCCGTGTTTGAACCATTGTCATGACTGAACCAGTGTGATGACTGAACCATTGTCATGACTGAACCAGTATTGTGACTGAACCAGTGCCATGTTTGAACCATTGTCATGACTGAACCAGTGCTGTGTCTGAACATCGTCATGTTTGTGTCCCCATGTCAGTGGTGGACAGAGCCAGGAGTGAGCTGCTGGTGCTGTGTGAGAGTGCTTCAAGCCAGTCAGGCTTACTGCCACCACAGGGAAGAAGTCAGAATTAACAGATTTCATAACAAGATTGCTGTAAATGATTGTTGACATGAACTTATCACAGATTTAAACTTGAAAGTCAATATTGTCAAAGTGTTATTTATGTTGTTTTAATCTTCCAGTAATACAGTTGGTTTATCTGATGCAATGTGTTACACATATTTCTAAAGAAATATTTTATGTTGTTTGTGAAAAAGAGGTTCTGCTCTTTTCTTTTTCATCTGTAAACTAAATTACATTGAAAAACCAAAATAGTTGCTTTAACTGTTTCAAAATCACATTCCATGAGAATTGTGAATAGAATGTCCTGTGGCCCTGCCCTGTTAATGAGCCCTCCGAGGACCTGAAGTGTAGGAGCACCCTACTGTTGCGAAATCTCCACATCCACATTGTAATGCAATTAAGATGTCTATCTCTGGGGGCCTACATCACTGGGCTCAACTCAAGAAACTTCTTCCACAAATCTCAACAAAAAAGTATTATGCTTTCCTGATATTTGATCTCTTTTAAACAAATGAGAGAAAAAATTGAATTAACTATTGGTGTGAACTCCGTAATTTGAGTCTGGTGCTTGACCTGGGAGGACCTGATAGTGGAGATAATTGCAGAAGACAAGTGCTGGGAGTGTGATAAGGGGGGAAACTGGAACCCGAGCCGGGACACCAGGCTCTCCTTGATGGCTCCACTCCAGCAAGTGCCACTGTATACAAACAAACCTGCTTGTGCTGCTTTTTCATAGACTTAGTTATAAGTGCATACATGTTGTGAAAGATGTGTGTAAAGTAGCTGGTAGTTGTGGAACAGTGTGTTGTTGACAGTGTCTGGGGACACTGCCGTGTGATGCTCCTGTGTGGACTGGAGTTCACAGACAAGCCATCAGTTCCACGGGACAGTTGTAGAACAATGTCTGGGGCCTGTGAAGTATGACTCCTTGTTGTTATAAACGGATGTGACGTGGGTTCAGCAATGAATTTTGATTTTGTTGTATCTATTTTTCACTTTCAAAAACTAAAGGGCTGGACATGATTCTAAGGTGCACCAATTCTGTAAAATGCTTTCAGGACAATTTAAGATGTGAGAACTAGCTGACACTGTATCACTTCATGTGCCTGTATTGCAGAATACTGTGACCAACGCGGAGAAGTTGTTGGCCGCGGCGGACGAGCTGGCACAGACGGGGGAGTGTGACCCGAAGGAGATCTATAGTGAAGCACAGGAGTTGGAGGAACGCATGCACAACTTTGTGTCGGCCTTGGAGCAGCGCCGAGCTATCCTGGACATGACCGTGTCCTTCTACACACACGTGCACGAGGTGAGACATGACACGTGTTGTTTCTGTAGTAGTTCACTGTGGACAGCTGTAAGTGTAAGTGTGGTTGCCATGTAGTCCTGTGGTGGGATTCGAACCAGGACCTTCTGTTCGGATGCCTCATCCGATGACCAGAGAGGTTAGCCCCGCCAGCCCTGCTACATCAACATGACAGAAGAGTTGTGAGTGAGTGAGTTGGGTTTAATTCCGCTTTTAACAGTATTCCAGTTATATCAAGGCGTTACAGCTTAATGTGGGAGGAAAGCCCGAAGTGATGCAGGTCTAAGATGCTGACAACCCTAGAACCATAATTGGGGCGAACCAGGATTCGAACCCACAATCAGAAGAGTAGAAGATGTAATACAATAATAATCATTCCTACGTTGGTCCTCTGAGTTGAAGTGTGTGTGTGTCTGTGTGTGTGTCTGTGTGTGTGTCTGTGTGTGTGTGTGTGTGTCTGTGTCTGTGTCTCTGTGAGTGTGTCTGTGTCTGTGTGTGTCTGTCTGTGTGTGTGTGTGTGTGTCTGTGTCTGTGTGTTGGGGGTGGGCAGTCTTAGTGTGTCAGTGGTGAGGATTGTCTCATTCAGGGTATCTTTTGTGGCTTTGTTTTCATCTTTTATGGTTCTACTCCAGCTGCTATGTAACCATAGTCAAGCAACGCCATGTGCTGTTGTAGAGTGTTCTTACAGTGAATGCACAATCTCGGTATGAAACAGTTTCCAGCATACTTGTGTAGATTGTGAGGAACTTGCAGTTGATTACATTTAGGAGCTGTCAATATTATAGAGAGCAAGTGCTATAACAGCCATATCAGAATTGTCAGTATAGTAGAGAGCAAGTGCTATAACAGCTATATCAGAATTGTCAGTATAGTAGAGAGCAAGTGCTATAACAGGCATATCAGAATTGTCAGTATAGTAGAGAGCAAGTGCTATAACAGCCATATCAGAGTTGTCAGTATAGTAGAGAGCAAGTGCTATAACAGGCATATCAGAATTGTCAGTATAGTAGAGAGCAAGTGCTATAACAGCCATATCAGAGTTGTCAGTATAGTAGAGAGCAAGTGCTATAACAGGCATATCAGAATTGTCAGTATAGTAGAGAGCAAGTGCTATAACAGCTATATCAGAATTGTCAGTATAGTAGAGAGCAAGTGCTACAACAGCCATATCAGAATTGTCAGTATAGTAGAGAGCAAGTGCTATAACAGCCATATCAGAATTGTCAGTATAGTAGAGAGCAAGTGCTATAACAGCCATAACAGAATTGAACTTGGAGTAGAATAAGTATATACAGCAGTCCACAGTCGACATCCCAGCTTTGTAGGCCTGGAGACATTTCTTGCCAACACCTGTTACTTTTCACTTTCATATGTTACAATAGTTCTATTATTGTTGATGTTGCATGTGTGTAAAACTATATTTATTGTATTTTGTCTTTGATTTTATCATCATTCATCTGAAGAATTAATCGTGTAAAGAATTGTTCCTCAAATCACTTTTTTATGCACATTTATGATATTATTATTTGAAATAAATCATATTCATATTATTCTTTTTGATTCAGACTTACACCTTTTCCTTTCTGTGTGCTTCTCAAAATAACTTTTCCACACCATTTTGTAAATGACGTTTTATGTAAGCGTTGTGTTGTGTGTGTTGTGTTTGAAGATGTGTTGTTTTCCGCTTCCTGATACGTGTTGTAAACACACTATACAAGTTTTCGCTGCAGTTGACATCCTGGCTGGAGGAGTTGCAGCAGGAGCTCCAGAGCTCAGAGATCGCGGACTCCGTGGAAGGGGCGGAGCAACTTCTCGCCCAGTTCAACCAGCAAAGGGAGACAACCATTGAAGCTGCCTACAACACTGTTGGAGAGGGAGAGACTCTTGTCGAACACTTCAGGTAATGGACAAAATCAATCTTTTAACATTTCTCACATTAAGTCTGTTGTTTGCCTGGAACAACTTACCAATGTTTGATACTAAGTGAGTGAAAAACCCATTGCCCATCAAGTACCAGACACTTCCTAATGTAGGTGTGGAGATCAATTCCACAGTTTCTGTCAGCTGTGTAACCTTTCTGTGGTGATGAAGTCATATGTCTGTCAACTGTGGCACCCTTTGTCTTGATGAACTTTTAGATCTGTTTACTGTTTTGTTTGTTTGTTGTTTAGCGCTGCACTCAGCATTATTCCACCTATATGACAGCAGTCTGTTAATAATCGAGTCTAGACCAGACAATCCAGTGATTGATGTCATGAGCATCAATCCACGCCATTGGAATACGATGACATGCATCAACCAAGTCAGCAAGCCTGACCTGGTCCTGTTATTCGCCTCTTGCGACAAGCATAGTCACCTTTTAAGGCAAGCATGGGTTTACTGCAGGCCTTTTGTGATGAACTTGTAGTTTTGTTTACTCTTCTGTGGTGATGAACTTGTAGTTTTGTTTACTCTTCTGTGGTGATGAACTTGTAGTTTTGTTTACTCTTCTGTGGTGATGAACTTGTAGTTTTGTTTACTCTTCTGTGGTGATGAACTTGTAGTTTTGTTTACTCTTCTGTGGTGATAAACTTGTAGTTTTGTTTACTCTTCTGTGGTGATAAACTTGTAGTTTTGTTTACTCGTCTGTGGTGATGATCACTGTGATCCTGGCACAGTTAGGCTGGTTAGGCACATCATCAGCTCAGGGCACTTGCCCCCTCTACACGCAGCCCAGACAGAGAATGGGACTTCTCCCAGGAAGCGCTGCCAAGTCAAACCCACCCAAAACTTTTCGGAGAATGTTAACTCTTTCAACACCGTAGGCCGGTATACCGGCCAAGAAGCATTGAGTCCCCAGACACTGTAGGCCGGTATACCGGCCAAGAAGCATTGAGTCCCCAGACACTGTAGGCCGGTATACCGGCCAGGAAGCATTGAGTCCCCAGACACTGTAGGCCGGTATACCGGCCAAGAAGCATTGAGTCCCCAGACACTGTAGGCCGGTATACCGGCCAGGAAGCATTGAGTCCCCAGACACTGTAGGCCGGTATACCGGCCAAGAAGCATTGAGTCCCCAGACACTGTAGGCCGGTATACCGGCCAAGAAGCATTGAGTCCCCAGACACTGTAGGCCGGTATACCGGCCAGGAAGCATTGAGTCCCCAGACACTGTAGGCCGGTATACCGGCCAAGAAGCATTGAGTCCCCAGACACTGTAGGCCGGTATACCGGCCAGGAAGCATTGAGTCCCCAGACACTGTAGGCCGGTATACCGGCCAAGAAGCATTGAGTCCCCAGACACTGTAGGCCGGTATACCGGCCAGGAAGCATTGAGTCCCCAGACACTGTAGGCCGGTATACCGGCCAAGAAGCATTGAGTCCCCAGACACTGTAGGCCGGTATACCGGCCAAGCCGTAGTCACGTCAAAATAGTATATATTTTTATGGACCTACCTGTAATATCATTCATTTATTAAATCTATCACATTTCACAATGTCTAAAATACGTATCATTTTTTATCGATAAATTAAAAAATTATTCACTATTTCCCGCGATGTTATTGAAAATGAAATTCTCGGACACAATTTTAGACAACAGGTCCACATCGAACATGTCAAAGAGCAAAATAAAGACATTTTAAACAAATCTTTAAATATATTATACAAAGTAATAAATAAAATCAACAAAAATATATCTAAAAGTAATCAAACTTACATCTAAGTTATTATTTCCATATTTTCGTGCGATCGCGTGTAATGTAAGTCAAATGACATCTTGGCTTTCGTCGCCTTGAATTCTCGGTTCGGACACAATGTTTAATGCAAAAATATATGCATGAAAAATCTTTGTCACAGCTCGTAACCTAGCACGATACATACACGAAGTTCAATGTTTTTAATATATATCGTGATTTCCTGCTTAAAACGTTCAGAATAACACGATTTAACAAAAATCTTTCGTCAACTTCTGAAATTTTTCAAACACGAGCTTGGTATCACAGCTGTAATTTGATTGGCTGCCTTAGGTCACGTGCTCAAATTTGACCAATCACAAACCTTGTAGCAGATTTCGGCAAGAAAGCGTCATTAGAAACCAATTTTAATCTAATGAAATCTCTTGTTATAACTACGGAAAAAAACCAGGCGATGTTAAGAGCGTGTAGATGAAGGAATAAGCTTTCCAGCGATGTGTCATATGCCATTCTTCCACGAAAATGTTATTCATACGAAGTCTCGAAAACGGGGGTATTTCTTCATATTACTGAGCGGACAGCCGCTGTTATGGGGAAATGGGTGATGACAGATACTATTTATAATTCTTTTTAAAATGATTTTCCAATTACGTAAACAATGAAAATAAAACAGAAATAGGTAAGTGGATTTTATGAAACCTTATATTTGCCGAAAATCGTCAAGTTTTCGCTTCCTTGGTCCTTAATCTGGATGTTAACTACGTGTTAGCTTACATTTTTTATTTACAACGAACTTAATTAAGTTGTAAATGCATTATTTTAAATAATGTGAAAAACATAACTTTCATATTTATAAACCATAGGATCAGACCTTTCAAATGGTTTATAACATGTAGTAGCAAATATATTTTACAAGCAGGTATTTTCTTTGATAAATGTTGGCTTCATCGATCACACAAGAGTCTCTGGGAACTCTGTGTCCCAGCAGTAAACACTTCTGGTTGACTGGTCCCCAACACTGCAGCCTTCTGCATTACCCAGATTGTCAGAAGGGCTGTATTCCTGGTAGCAAACCCAGGTACTCTCCCAATGTCAGTCAACAGATTGGGAGGTACCAAACCAAAGGCACCGTGAACAATGGGGAGTCGGACAACTTGGTACTTGGGATGCAAGCGTGACATTTCGAACGTAAGGTCTGCATATTTGCCATGTTTTTCCTCAATCTTGTCAATCACATTGGTGTCAAAAGGGACAGAAAATTTATTGATATAAATGATTTCATTGGATTTATCAAAAAGGACAAAATCAGGTTTGTTGGCCTGGATACGTGAGAGGCTGTATACGGGCCTATTCCAAAGAAGTTTTTATTTATCATTTTACATATTCTTTGTCGTACCATGGGTGGACCTCTGTGTCAAAACCACAAGCATGGCGAAGATGGTAATAAAATGATCCAGCCACTCCATCATGTCGCTTAAGATGCTGTGTTTGTGCCAAAGCTGGGCATCCACTGGCAATGTGTTGGACAGTCTCATTAAATTCATTACATAATCTACATTTCATATTTACATTTTGATGCAAAATCACACATTGGTGGTTTCAAGTGGGAAGTGACTGGTCCTGAGCAGGAAACAGAAAACCTTCTGTTTCACTTTTCAGTGCCAGCCGACTTCCTCCAAGCAAAGGACTCTGCAGGGTTGCTGACCTCAACACACTGCACATAAACTCAATGCAGTGGTCGTTCAGAAAGCCTCTCCTTAAAAAACTGTATTATTATTATTATTATTATCATTATCATTATTATTATTATTTTATGTTTTCATCAACTTGTAGGCATGCACATCACAAACACAACTCGGGTCTGTCTGGAATAAATACCAGACTGGAATGGTTTAAATGTTAACAAGACATGATTGATTTCCATGTCGTGGTCATGTATTGATTACCTGTGTTGACTGATCAGCCAAAAGGGGGGGGACGGTGGAGGAGAGGGAGACGTGTAGTCAGCAACTCGCTGCAGCTGTTGTAAGGAGGGAAGTCTCTTGCTTTTGTGCACATTTCATCAGTAGCCTGCCAGTATGAGTGATTCCATTTTGATTTGCCCAGTACTGGGACACTTGACTGGCGTAATTAAAAGTAAATAGTCTGGAATGAAATGCAGGTTTGTGTATTAATGTACCAGTTGACGAGAACTTGATGAATATGGAAATGCTACCAGTGCATGGTGAGTGCAAGAGAGCAGCTCAATGAGAGATGTGACAGTGTTGACGTGTGTGGTATAATGCACCTTTCTAGCAGTGGACGGCGCCACTGCCGTGCTCAGTGCAGGGGCTGCGTGTAAAGCCCTGGTGCACCTATTGAGACCGAGCTGCACAAATAACTGCCATTACACCCTCTGACTGACAGACAGAGCAGTCACTCAGGCAATTATTGGTTAATCAATTCTAGAAAATAACCATGTCAACAAGAAAAGTCAGAAATACACTTGTGGATTGTTCTTGTGATAGGCTGCCATTGTTCTGTCTGCTAGGTGCACTCAGGCAGTAATTCATCTGTAGATTAGACTATAATGGAAGTATTGGATTCACGGTTTTTAGTTTATTCAAATGAATATCAGGTCTGATATTTCAATATTTTACCTCCAGAACCTGAATGAAGGTTCCTAATAATTGTACATGACAACTGATTTACCCTGAGGCCTTTTCATTTTCTCGTTCTGCGTCTCTTTCTGATATTTGATGACGTTTATGTGTCAGATGAGGAATGTTCTGTTGTCATCATTCACAAGCAGAAGGAATGTCTTATATACTGGAATAAGTTATTTGTCCAAGTTAAAAGCATTTGGAGAAAGTTCTTCCAGTAATTTTGAGTATTGGATGGACAGCTTTGTTTCACTGTGTATGGCCACACAAAATATATCTGGTGTGATTTTGTTTGTTTGTTGTTTAACGCCGCACTCAGCAATATTCATGCTATATGACGGCGGTCTGTAAATAATCGAGTCTGGACCAGACAATCCAGTGATTGACATCATGTGCATCGATCCACGCAATTGGGATACTATGACATGCATCAACCAAGTCAGCGAACCTGACCACCCGATCCCAATAGTCGCCTCTTACGCCGTCCAATGAATCCTGTCATCCTCCTGTCTGACTAAAGGACCCATTTGAAGATAATGAGAGTCCAGTACAGGGGCAGATCTGTAAACAGGGTTATGCCAGCCTGTGAAGTGCTGGCAAATATAAGGTTTACTTGACAGTCAGGCGCAGTGAGACACACCTGCAGATAGGACAAGTGTTTTGTACACACAGCCTTATGTGGTTGTGTTTGTTGAAGCTGCTCCCGTCAGATGGCAGATTTATGTGCATGTGCTGCACTGTCACTTTACAATGTGTACAATGCATAATAAATGAATATCCACTAGTTGGTATATTCCATGAATATTGCTTTCATAAATATCTGTTTGACATACAGGGAAATATGAACTGGTTGGTTTATAATTACCGGTGTTCTCTTTGAGTTGTGTGTAGTATTTCCAGGGACAAAGCTGTATAATTTGTGAGATGATGTCATAGGCCAACAGTAGTACAAGATGTGTTTGTGCAAGTGGTCCATATCTTTGGCAGCCAACGTTGTGTGCTAGTATTGATGGGCACTGCATTATTAATGAAGGAACCACAGCAATGATTAGCAGGAATCTATGGTCAGTTAACCCTCACAGCCACTCTGTGATCTTCTTGCTGTGTCGGGAGGGTTCAGTTCCCTGACTCATGGTGCCTGTCATCCCCTCCCCTGGTGGATTGTCATGCCTCTCGAAGGAAGGAGCAAGTGTATTCCAGTGTTACTCAACACACTGCACTGGGAGTATAGGCTGGAACTCATCACACACAGAATACAGTTAGTTCCCCTCTTGGTGCCTTATACACTGTTCTCCTCACTCACTCACTCACTCACTCACTCACTCACTCACTCACTTGGTATGTTCCAACTTACACTCTGGCTATACCTTCATGACTGGTCATGTGTAACATGTGGTGATGTTACATGTAACATGTGATGGTTACATGTAGTAATGTTACATGCAGCATTAAACAACAAACAAAACATGTAATGATAGTCACATGTAACATGTGGTGATGGTTACATTTAACATGTGGTGATGTCACATGTAACATGTAGTAATATTACATGTAACATGTGATGTTACATGTAACACATGGTGATGGTTACGTGTAACATGTGGTGATGTCACATGTAACATGTAGTAATATTACATGTAACATGTGATGTTACATGTAACACATGGTGATGTTTACATATAACATGTGGTGATGTCACATGTAACATGTAGTAATATTACATGTAACATGTGATGTTACATGTAACACATGGTGATGGTTACGTATAACATGTGGTGAGGGTTACATGTAACATGTAGTGATGTTACATTAGCTTAACATGTAAGTGTTGATGGTTACATGTAACTTGTGGTGATGAATATTATTGGGGGTCATGTCCTTGTGTCACTCTGAGGCTGGGAGAGGACTACTGCCAGACCTGCAGAGGCCAGGATAGAGGCTACAGTGAGACAATACATACAAGCTTTAAGTGCAGGGGCTTTGGTCATTGGTGCTGGAATCAATAAAGATGCAAGTCGCTGTTTGACTGTTTAGGGGAGTTTGCAAAAATATTACATCTTTATGGTTGTACTTGATATGTGAGTCTTGGATTAAAGGTACAGGTGGTTAGAGCATTCAAGCTGTCATGATTTGAATGTGACCTTGTCACAGTTACAGCGCTCCCTACGCTTGAGTAGCAGTCAGGATCCAGACACCTGCAGCTATAAATGTAAAGCTTTTAGACGACACTCAGCCAACTTACTTCTTGATCACAAACTAATTGACATTGGCATAAGAATGATTTGATTGATGTCTTTATTTGTCAAATCATGTCTATATAGAGGCGAAGACAGATGAGTGAATGGGGTGGAGGTACCCAGGAAATAGAGTACATGGTGTCAGATTTGTTAGGATCCAGTCTTCTGTTGAAAGAGGTAGTTCCAGATCTCTGTACTCTGTTGTTGTGTGTATGAAACTGACTACAGTGTGTAGCCACTCCTACACTTACATGATCTACTTGTCTAAAACCCTACTATAACACGAGTTGGGGGGACTCGCTCCCACTCACGCATGCACGCATCGGTTGGGCAGTTTCTCCTGAGTATCTGGCTGTGTTGGAGGTAGAATGGAAGGTAGATGAGGGAGTTGACTGATTGCCATTGTTCCTTATTGACCTGTGTTATAGTGAGGAGGGATGGTATGCCGTGTAACACACTATAACAGGTAACTCCGTTGAAGCATGTCTGAGATTTCCACCTGAATATCATTCTGTGTGGACAGTGTTCAAACAAGTGGCGTCTGTCCTCCGTGGCTGGGGAAACCATGTGATCTGTACGGACAGACAGCTGCCTCAATGGGATAAGGGATAAGTTGAACCGAAATATTTTAATCTGGATTGTAAGGTCGCGTGTCACTGGTTTGTTGTTGTCGTGGTAGCCGTGCCGTCTGTCCGAGCTGTGGAGGTTCTGCTGTCACTGGGAGCACAATGAGGGGCAGCTCTGCAGGTTAATTAACTACTGGATCATTATCATGGACATGGAATCATTTGGAGGGATTAGATTTGTCCAGTGAGTTGAGATGTGTTTTCCATTCGGCTCAAGTGTCGGTGAGCGTGGAATCAATACACAAACAACAAGACCATCAGAGCCTAACGGAAACATTGCTGTACATCGGTGGATACCTGGTTTGCAGTGGGACGTCCTGTGTTGAGGGAGACTGACATCGTCACTCGTAGTTTACCTGTGTTGAGGGAGACTGACATCATCACTCGTAGTTTACCTGTGCTGAAGAAGACTGACATCGTCACTCGTAGTTTACCTGTGCTGAGGGAGACTGACATCGTCACGTGTAGTTTACCTGTGTTGAGGAAGGCTGACATCGTAACTCATAGTTTACCTGTGTTGAGGGAGACTGACATCATCACTCGTAGTTTACCTGTGTTGAGGGAGGCTGACATCATCACTCGTAGTTTACCTGTGTTGAGGACGACTGACATCGTCACGTGTAGTTTACCTGTGTTGAGGGAGACTGACATCGTCACTCATAGTTTACCTGTGTTGAGGAAGACTGACATCATCACTCGTAGTTTACCTGTGTTGAGGGAGACTGACATCGTCACTCGTAGTTTACCTGTGTAGAGGGAGGCTGACATCGTTACTCGTAGTTTACCTGTGTTGAGGGAGGCTGACATCGTCACTCGTAGTTTACCTGTGTTGAGGAAGGCTGACATCGTCACTCGTAGTTTACCTGTGTTGAGGAAGGCTGACATCGTCACTCGTAGTTTACCTGTGTTGAGGGAGGCTGACATCGTCACGTGTAGTTTACCTGTGCTGAAGAAGACTGACATTGTCACGTGTAGTTTACCTGTGCTGAGGGAGGCTGACATCGTCACTTGTAGTTTACCTGTACTGAGGGAGGCTGACATCGTCACTCTTAGTTTACCTGTGTTGAGGGAGGCTGACATCGTCACTCGTAGTTTACCTGAGTTGAGGGAGGCTGACATCATCACTCGTAGTTTACCTGTGTTGAGGGTGGAAATTCATTAGTTAACGTGACCCAGTGAGTACCATGAGAACAGTGTCTTGGTTAACCCTTTCTGTTCCGTACATCACAGTCTCCCCTCTCCTATCTGAGACATTATCATGCAGACATCACCTGAAGCTTGCTTCAAACACAGACACAAATATTGCCTGCCTTGCACCTGATTGTGGGGCACCACTACAAAAGTGAAATGTAGTTAGGAAATTGTTACAGCATCCAGGTAGTGTTCCTTTAGTCCCTGTACGCATAGCTGTAGGGGGCGGCATCGTGGGCGGGACAGCAACAGGGTTACCTGTGGATGACAATTTGGTCATGTGTAGAAACCTGTTGGTGGATGTATGGAGGGGATATTATTGGCAGCAACATAATTACTCTTGTCTTGTTGATATTTATTTGTAAACTGATGTGCCAAAATTGCCATGTCTTTCATAAGCAAGTACACATCCTTCATTGGGTTTGGATGTTGGGGAGGCTGGGGGTTGTGATGTCACCTGTGTCTCAACAGATGGGGACTTGTTGAGAAGGTCCCCCTTCTCGCTCATGTCAAGAGGATTATTCCAATCACTTCAACTTGACCCGTATTGATAACATTCCAGTGAAAGCCACACATCCCCGTGTAAATAGACTTCTGGTATCATGTACTTTTTTAGGATACTTGTGAGGTGGTGATTCTTTCTTGGATAAACATTGTAACATTGATGTAAGCAAGTTGTAACCAAATTAAACCACTTGTTTGTCATCTGGGATAAGTGACAGTGAACATCATACACAAATGGTTGTGGAGTATCCAGGAAATACACCGGTAGAAATATTCCAGTTTGTGTATTGGAAGTGCCCAGTTTGATGACCCCATTGTGAATGTGTATGAATACATGCAGTGTCAGCCAGTCCTAGCTGTGTCTGTGTCACACTGGTCAGATAGTGTGGTGCATCAGTAGAGAACTATAATCATCATCATCATCAGCTTCCCCGTGAGCATCGAGTGATCATTCAGTGGCATTATTGGAAGTGTGTTGATTTCCCTGAATACAACAACATTAATTAACAAGCAAGCAACTTCTCTGTGGTCTGCAATAGTCAGCTGGGCTGTATATTGGCTGTGGTACTGCACTTACCTCCATCGGGAAGAATGACTGTGAGAAATTAGTCTTAAATGTCCAATACTCCTAATGGAAATTGTGATATTTTGTGAATTGTTAATGTGTTATATGTCCTTGACTTTATGGATAAGTACATGGATGGGACATGAGTTGATGATCTGGCCTCCCTGTGACATGTGACAGGAAGATGTTCTGGTACTTGTATGTGCTCTACAAGAAGTTCCTTATATACCTGCGTCGTCTGCGGGTGTTCGGACACAGAATGATGACGCTGCTGGTGAAGTTCGTGTGGATACTGGCGCTGCTCACCATTCAGCTCTTCATCATTTTTGTTATTTTCTTTGTACAAACTTGTAACAAGTTTTGCCGAGGATTGAATTATGGTCTTCTACTTTTCTACAGAGCTATACAGCTGGAGGATGAGCGCAACCAGAACACGGACCTGACCCACATCGAAGGTAAGCCTCTATGTCGTGTGTCTCCATACCGACTACACCTTGCAGTGATCCACAGCATTCACAGAATGTACCCTGAAGTGAATAACAAGACATTCTGGCCACTTAATACAATCCAACAACTCTGAACCTATTGAAGTATGTAGTATATGTTATATCTCCACAATACCTCCTCATAGGGGACTATATGTTATATCTCCACAATACCTCCTCATAGGGGACTCTATGTTATATCTCCACAATACCTCCTCATAGGGGACTATATGTTATATCTCCACAATACCTCCTCATAGGGGACTATATGTTACATTTCCACAATATCTCCTCATAGGGAACTATATGTTACATTTCCACAATATCTCCTCATAGGGGACTATATGTTATATCTCCACAATACCTCCTCATAGGGGACTATATGTTACATTTCCACAATATCTCCTCATAGGGAACTATATGTTATATCTCCACAATACCTCCTCATAGGGGACTATATGTTACATTTCCACAATACCTCCTCATAGGGAGCTATATGTTATATCTCCACAATACCTCCTCATAGGGAACTATGTGTTACATCTCCACAATACCTCCTCATAGGGGACTATATGTTATATCTCCACAATACCTCCTCATAGGGAACTATATGTTATATCTCCACAATACCTCCTCATAGGGAACTATGTGTTATATCTCCACAATACCTCCTCATAGGTAACTATATGTTATATCTCCACAATACCTCCTCATAGGGGACTATATGTTACATTTCCACAATACCTCCTCATAGGGGACTATATGTTACATTTCCACAATATCTCCTCATAGGGAACTATATGTTACATTTCCACAATATCTCCTCATAGGGGACTATATGTTATATCTCCACAATACCTCCTCATAGGGGACTATATGTTACATTTCCACAATATCTCCTCATAGGGAACTATATGTTATATCTCCACAATACCTCCTCATAGGGGACTATATGTTACATTTCCACAATACCTCCTCATAGGGAGCTATATGTTATATCTCCACAATACCTCCTCATAGGGAACTATGTGTTATATCTCCACAATACCTCCTCATAGGGAACTATATGTTATATCTCCACAATACCTCCTCATAGGGAACTATGTGTTATATCTCCACAATACCTCCTCATAGGTAACTATATGTTATATCTCCACAATACCTCCTCATAGGGGACTATATGTTACATTTCCACAATATCTCCTCATAGGGAACTATATGTTTCATTTCCACAATACCTCCTCATAGGTAACTATATGTTATATCTCCACAATACCTCCTCATAGGGGACTATATGTTATATCTCCACAATACCTCCCCATAGAGGACTATATGTTATATCTCCACAATACCTCCTCATAGGGGACTATATGTTATATCTCCACAATACCTCCTCATAGGGGACTATATGTTATATCTCCACAATACCTCCTCATAGGGAGCTATATGTTATATCTCCACAATACTTCCTCATAGGGGACTATATGTTATATCACCACAATACCTCCTCATAGGGGACTATATGTTATATTTCCACAATACCTCCTCATAGGGAGCTATATGTTATATCTCCACAATACTTCCTCATAGGGGACTATATGTTATATCTCCACAATACCTCCTCATAGGGGACTATATGTTATATCTCCACAATACCTCCTCATAGGGAGCTATATGTTATATCTCCACAATACTTCCTCATAGGGGACTATATGTTATATCTCCACAATACCTCCTCATAGGGGACTATATGTTATAGCTCCACAATACCTCCTCATAGGGAACTATATGTTATATCTCCACAATACCTCCTCATAGGGAGCTATATGTTATATCTCCACAATACCTCCTCATAGGGGACTATATGTTATATCTCCACAATACCTCCTCATAGGGGACTATATGTTATATCTCCACAATACCTCCTCATAGGGGACTATATGTTATATCTCCACAATACCTCCTCATAGGGAGCTATATGTTATATCTCCACAATACTTCCTCATAGGGGACTATATGTTATATCTCCACAATACCTCCTCATAGGGGACTATATGTTATATCTCCACAATACCTCCTCATAGGGAACTATATGTTATATCTCCACAATACCTCCTCATAGGGAGCTATGTGTTATATCTCCACAATACCTATGTCAGTGACAGGTCAGTAAAATGAACGTGAGAAGTGCACTAGAGGTATGTCGCCAACATAGGTCCGTAAAATGAACGTTAGGTATGTCAGTGACAGGTCAATAAATGAACGTGAGATATGTCAGTGACAGGTCAGTAAAATGAACGTCAGGTATGTCGGTGACCGGTCAGTAAAATGTATGTGAGGTATGTCAGTGACAGGTCAGTAAAATGAACGTGAGGTATGTCGCCAATATAGGTCAGTAAAATGAACGTGAGGTATGTCGTTGACAGGTCAGTGAAGTGAGCATAATGGTTTGTCTGAGACATGGTTTGTTGTGTCACGGCTGTGTGATGTACATGTAGTTATTGCTCCTTGTCTGCCTCAGGGCACAAATTGATGCAATGAAATTGTCGGTTGATCTGGTATTAGTCAACTATCAGTTTAGCCTTAAAAACTAACAGCAATCACAGAGGGATGGGAGTAGTCGTCCTGCCTCGCCCAACGTTTGTCTGGCTGTAGTGTGTCAGGTGACCAAGGCATCCGTGTGCTTAGTGTTTCATAATTTTCAAAGTGGTTCTTGTAGTGTGTCTTGTGTGTCTTGTGTGGCATGTGTAGGTTGGTAACCAAGCGCAGTGACTGCTAGTTTGCTAATCTATAATATGCATTGTTCGAATTGCATTGAGATTGGGCTTTGCCTTATGCATGAATCGATCCTTACTGAATTCATTTATTGTTTAAATTTTTTTAGAAAAATGATAGGATTAGGGATTTATATATTGTGAAATTGCCAGCAGTGCAGGCCTTGATGTGGCCCTTTCAGACTAACCATGAACATCCTACCCGAGATAAAATGTCCCACCCTGTTCCATAAACATACCCTGGCCTTTGGGGATACCCTACCCTGTTCCATAAACATACCCCTGGCCTTTGGGGATACCCTACCCTGTTCCATAAACATACCCTTGACCTTAAGGCATACCCTACCCTGTTCCATAAACATACCCTTGACCTTAAGGGATACCCTACCCTGTTCCATAAACATACCCCTGGCCTTTGGGGATACCCTACCCTGTTCCATAAACATACCCCTGGGCTTTGGGGATACCCTACCCTGTTCCATAAACCATACCCTTGACCTTAAGGGATACCCTACCCTGTTCCATAAACATACCCCTGGCCTTTGGGGATACCCTACCCTGTTCCATAAACATACCCCTGGCCTTTGGGGATACCCTACCCTGTTCCATAAACATACCCTTGACCTTAAGGGATACCCTACCCTGTTCCATAAACATACCCTGGCCTTTGGGGATACCCTACCCTGTTCCATAAACATACCCTGGCCTTTGGGGATACCCTACCCTGTTCCATAAACATACCCCTGGCCTTTGGGGATACCCTACTCTGTTCAATAAACATACCCCTGGCCTTTGGGGTACCCCACCCTGTTCAATAAACATACCCTTGACCTTAAGGGATACCCTACCCTGTTCCATAAACATACCCCTGGCCTTTGGGGATACCCTACCCTATGGGGATACCAGGTAAGAAACTGGTCCCCAGCAGCCAGTGCTGGTCATGGGTCAGGTGGTCAGGCTCAGTGACCTGGTTGCTTGTGTATCAACATGCCCTGATGGCTTGAATCTGCTTAGCAAATCAATCACTGAATTGTCTGGTCCAGTTTTGATTCTTTGTGCCTAAATATCCCTCCTTTGAATAAATACCTGTCTACATATCCCACCCTTCACATAAACAAACACCTGTATGTCCCACCCTTCACATAAACAAACACCTGTATGTCCTACCCTTCACATAAACAAACACCTGTATGTCCCACCCTTCACATAAACAAACACCTGTATGTCCCACCCTTCACATGAACAAACACCTGTATGTCCCACCCTTCACATTAACAAACACCTGTATGTCCCACCCTTCACATTAACAAACACCTGTATGTCCCACCCTTCACATAAACAAACACCTGTATCTCCCAGCCCCTTCACATGAACAAACACCTGTATGTCCCACCCTTCACATAAACAATCACCTGTATGTCCCACCCTTCACATAAACAAATACCTGTATGTCCTACCCTTCACATAAACAAACATCTGTATGTCCCACCCTTCACATAAACAAACACCTGTATGTCCCAGCCCCTGCACATCAAGTTAACCCAACTGCCTGAAATTGACGAGATCCGTGTGAGGATCTCTATGACAACCCTGCACCTGGCAGTGCCATCTGTAGTGGTGCATTTGTTACTGCCTTATCATGTTATATGACAAGAAAACCTGTAGAGAGATAGCAGGTTAGAGCGACCCATGCATGTAAATGTGTACCGTCATGGATGATGGCTTCATGGAATGTGCAGCGTTCAGTTGAGAAAGTGGAAAAATATTGATTATTGTGGATGGGTCTGTTAATGGTTGTTTGATAGGCCCATCCAAGATGTTACCAACCAGTGTATCACTTGACTCCAGCCCTAATTGACTTCATTCACCGCTATTAGTACTCATTTGCATCAACTTCAATGTCCATTGTGTAAGCAGTCTAGCTTCCCCTCACTTGGTTGACTTTAACATACAACCACACCTGCATATAATATCACAGCAGTAGCTTCAGGACTTCAGTCATAGTGGTTCCTGTACAACCATGTGTCACTGTTACTTCAGTCAGGGGTTCCTGTACAACCATGTGTCACTGTTACTTCAGTCATAGTGGTTCCTGTACAACCATGTGTCAATTTTACTTCAGTCATGGTGGTTCCTGTACAACCATGTGTCACTGTTACTTCAGTCATAGTGACTCCTGTACAACAATGTGTCACT